CTGGGTTCAAGCAATTCTCCGGCCTCAGCCTCCCGAGTAGCTGGGACTACAGGCATGCACCATCATGCCCAGCTAATTTTTGTATTTTTAGTAGAGACGAGGTTTCACCTTGTTGACCAAGATGGTCTCGATCTCTTGACCTCGTGATCCACCCGTCTCGGCCTCCCAAAGTGCTGGGATTACAGGCTTGAGCCACCGCGCCCGGCTACAATTCTTGATTTTAAGAAGCAAGGCAGCCCATGTCCAACATAGTACCATCTGCATGACCGTAACTATTAATGGATATATTCCTGCCTTAAGTAGATCATCTGTGTGCTTTTCTTAAAAATTTCAGTTAACCACATAGAATTTTTAAAGTCTGATTTTCTTCTTTTTTTTTTTTTTGAGACAGAAGCTCGCTGTCACCCAGGCTGGAGTACACTGGCATGATCTTGGCTCACTGCATTCTCCACCTCCTGGGCTCAGGCAATCCTTCTGCCTCAGCCTCCTGAATAGCTGGAACTACAAGCACATGCCACCACACCTGGCTGTTTTTTTACATTTTTGGTAGGGACCAGGTTTTGCCATGTTTCACAGGCTGGTCTCGAACTCCTGAGCTCAAGCAGTCTGCCCACCTTGGCCTCCCAAAGTGCTGAGATTACACATGTGAGCCACTGTACCCAGCCCTTCTGTTCTTTTTTTCTGATAGCCTTATTTCGAGTTTACTGAACTTCAAGGGAGTCTACGTGATTTTTAAAGGCTGTAGCTCTAAAAGTTCAGTAAACTCCAAATGAACCAGGATTTTGCTAGTAAAATGCAATGCTTGGTTTTCATTTTTTATGTACTTAACTAAACTTTTTTTTTTTAAAAAAATAGGGAACACTTCATGAATTATGTCATCTTTTTGCAGGGGCCATGATATTCTTTTCTGTTTTGTTCCTGTTTTAGTGTATGTGATGCTGAAGTGAGCACTCAACTAAAAAAAAAAAATTAAAAAAAAAAATATATATATGTAATTTTATTGTTGTTCTTTTGAGGCAGAGTCTGTGTTACCCAGGCTGGAGGGCAGTGGTATAAGAGCTTGGCTAACTGCAACCTACACCTCACGGGTTCAAGCAATTCTCCTGCCTCAACCTCCCAAGTAGCTGGGATTACAGGCGTCTGCCACCATGCCCAGCTGATTTTTTTTTTTTTTTTTTTTTGAGATGGAATCTCACACTGTTGCCGGGGCTGGAGTGCAGTGACATGATGTTGGTTCACTGCAACCTCCGCCTCCGGGTTCAACTGATTCTCCTGCCTCAGCCTCCCCAGTAGCCTGGATTATAGGCGCCCACCATCATGCCCAGCTAATTTTTTTGTATTGTAGAGACAGGGTTGCACCATCTTTGCCAGACTGGTCTTGAATTCCTGACCTTGTGATTCACCCACCTTGGCTTCCCAAAGTGCTGGGATTACGGACATGAGCCACTGTGCCTGGCTATGACTTTTCAAGTAAATGACTGTGATATATAGTATCTGCTCCTCCCCTATGTTAGACTCACTTGGCATGTACCACATGTTCTCAGTCTTTTTTTTTTTTTTTTTTTT